TGTATACATATAATAAATATAACTCATATAATTCTACTCACAGTTTTGTAAAACATGCAGGCTTGCCTATCCTCATCTTCGCCTGTAGGACAGTCTATAAAGCCGTCGCACAAGACATGATCGTCGATGCAATGATATCTACCCATTCTATCCGCAGTTGGGCAAGCAAATCTTTCCATTCCGTCTTCGGAGACTGGACATTCTGTAAATAAGATCGCAAAAATTATTTTTCAATTTGAAGATGGCGCTATACTTATTGTTAGATAGAGATTCAGGTATTACCTATATAAACATTAATATTATTTGATATATCTCTGCCAAATTGGAAAAATCTCGCATGAAAAGTATTGTGGAATTGGAAAACGCAGGAGCGGAGCAAGTATCATCTTTTCAACATTAAGAATGTTCGGGTTCTCATGTAAAATTCATATTATTTCAGTTATTGCTTTCGTTACTTCGTCAATACTTTTTCTGTCGACTACGACTATTTTCGATATTTCTAGTTTCTGCGGTTTATATCCGCAAAATAAATACTTCTTCCATTATTACTTAAAACGTCAATTAATTAAATTAATTACAAGACAGTTATCGCATAGAATTTTTCATCTATAATTGTGACAGTAATGTAAATTTAATTGTCGTTAATCGGCAGTTATATCAATGTCTAAATGTACATTTCAGTATACTTGGTATTCTCGCAGCATGTTCAGTATTAAATGTAGTTGACTGATTCTCCGTATTATTTGTCCAGTATGACGGTGTAAGCTCAAAAGCTCGTGTACTCAGTGTACGCTAAATGTGGTTAGCATAGTTCTCCGTGCTACTTGTTTAATACGAAGATCTCATTCAAAGCGCGTAGGATGAGTCTTAGTAAATGTAATGCCAAATATGTACGAAGAGAGATATGGGTCGACGAATGTAAATTTCGATGTTAAACTTGTTATCGCGATTATTATCGCGATAACAAGACGGATGTTCGTAGCATTTTATATTGTGACCTATCACTTTATATATCGTGACCCGAACAGATCAGTACATGATAAAACTACGCTTGACCACCCTTTGTTTTACGTTTTTATAACGACTCTCTTTTCAAAGTAGGTCTGATATATTTTAAGGAAACTTTCAACAAAAAAGAAATGAAAAGAACCCCCGCATTCCACACATTCCTCACGTTTGAAATTTCTCAATGTCGTCTACACGACCGGAGGATGTTTAGTGGCATACCCTATTCGGCTTATTTCACGCCATCGTCTTGTCGCGGATTCGCCCCGTCGGCGCTCTCTTCGATCAATAAATTTGGGAGGGACGGTGGGCACGTTCATGCGACAGCATTTCGTCACTTTTTCTTTATTTGCAGAAGCGCTTTGTCTGTATTTCTCGCGCGCGACGCATTTTATTTGGATTTATAGACCTGTTCTATTCGTGTGTAACTCACACCACGTATATCTGTATCATACCGTACTCATTCGAGTCATATTTCAAAAAATTAGAACAACTTTCATATTTTCGTATAAATGCGGATTTTCAGAGAAATCGAGATTTACGGGGAATACACACATATCAATTCCAATGAGCTCTCTCTTCTTGAAATTTCTAAACTATCACTATTAAATTTACTTTTTGGTTAAATGAATACATTATTTAAAAATTTATTTTATCTAAATTACTGTTTTTTAAAATCCTTTATCCGAATTATATAATATATAAGTAAATTTAAAAAACTGATTTTATGAATTTGCAAATTTTTACAAGTAAACAAATTTTTCTTTGCTATTTTTATTTTACAATTTTTTATTTTTATCTATTTATTTTCATTTTCACGAGAGAAGCAACAAAGATTTAAAGTAAATTAGTTTCTCAGAATTATAAAATATCTTTATATTTTAATTCGTCTTTGTTCGACATTCGACCCAGCTTTTCATTTAACATTCAGAATTACATCAAGAAGATTGGAATATTAGGAATAAAAGAGACAAAAATGTAATCAGATAGTTGGAAATCTCTTCTCTCGTTTTATATAATTTATTATGTATTATATTACATATTATTTAGTTTCACAAAAATAAAACTTTTTAAATTCATTTTAATCCATACATTTTTCATGAAAATGGAAAAAAACGTGAGAGAGAGGATTACGTTTTTTTTCATCAAAGTTGAAATACGTTTTTATATATGTATGAAAATTTTATGTATGTATGTTCACCCATATCATTATCAGGAAATTTGACATAATGTTATCGGAACATTTAAAATGGATTAACTTATCATACGATAAATGTCACGATATGCATTGACATTCATCAAATAAAAACTTAATCAAATTGATTTTTGCAGAAAAATGTTTCTTTGTATCAACTCACAAAATTGATCAAACGTTTTAAAAACCTCATACAAATTTTTTACTATTTATATAAACGTTATAATATTTATAATAATATGTATAATAAAAGAAAGTAAAGAAGGAAAAATTAGGCAAGTGAAACAAATTTTTGTATCAGAAGGACAAAATATTCCTTTAAAATTTTTGGAATTTTTTAACCTTCCGAAACTGACGGTGAATCTATTAAATTTCTCAATTATAAATCTCTTTATTAAAAATATCAAACAAATTCAATTTTCTTTGTTACGTCTGTATAAATTTTTTTTTAAATTAAATTTTTAACCTTCCGGAGCTGACAATAGATCTATTCGACCACCTCAATTATAAATCTCTCTATAAAAAATGTCAAACAATTCAATTTTCTTTGTTACAGGATTGGATTATTCTTATCAAAATGTACATAGTATTTATTCCTTTTTGTTACGTTATGTTATTTTAGGGGGGGTTCCTTGAAATTAATATCTTTTAATTCATATAAATTAAATGAATCTTACAGATTTAACTATTTATACAGATTTTGGCATTAGCTCCGGAGGATTAAACACACATGAGTGAAAAACGCTATATTTAGTCGATGCGGCTTTTCGTTTTCAATATTTTTTCTGAATTTATATAATTTCCAGTTGAAGCTAACTGTCAATTATTTATCGGTCTTGAAATACAATCCTATACTGGAGTAGTAATATCACAAATTAGTGACAAGTAGTTTAATATTATTGCTGTAAAAAAGCATCGTGGAAACTGTAAATAATTCATCGTGAAATTGCGAAAAATATTACCCCAGCCAGTATTCAAACTCGGATCTTCTATAATCCGGAGGATTAAAGAACACATGATAAATTTTGTTAATCAATGAAACATTTTTGCGGACTATTCATAAATATCTACATACAAGGAGAGAGAATACCACTTACCGATCTGCGGCACGTCGTATTGTATGCTTCCCCGGATTGATCTCAGCATAAGCTGTGAAGCGATGCTCGCGCCAGCGGACGACGTCGAGGACGTCGAGGACGTCGAGGACGCTTGAGCCTGGTGTCCCGGGGATTCTCCTTGCGCGTCGATCGAACGCCGCCCGACCGTTATCTGGTTCCGTTTACTTCCGGGTAGTTTGTTTCCGCTAGTCTCGTAGACGAAGGCCTTAGGTACGAAGCCGCCATTCGTAGGTAAGTTAAGCGGGGTGCCGCCCTCGGCGCGCGCGAGATCAGTCTTCGTACTCGTCGCAGTGTTAAATCTCTGCTCCGCGTAGAGATCGTCGTGATTCGATTGTCTAGATTCCTGAAGGGTGGTAGCCTTCTTGCCAGCCTCGTCGCACACCAGTATCGGTAGACTGAGCGGTCCTCTCAGCGGATGCCGGCATCCGATGCGCCGCTTCTTCAGACGCTGATGAGCCTGCCGGCCGCCGAGCAGATGATTGCCATCGTCGTGAACGTAGGGCTCCGCGACGTGGGGTTGCGTTGCAGCGTGTGGCTGCGACGTTACGTACTCGGAATAGAGAACGTTCAGCACGGCGGGTGACAGGGCAAAGAACATGTTCTGGAGCTCCCGCGGCTCTTTGACAATGTCGTCGATCAGCATACCCGCGGGCGACCACGAGGATATCCGCGGCTCGTCGTTGAAGACCAGCCAGTTCGACAGGTCGTCCCGGTAGGGACCATCGGAAGGATATATTTTTAGATGCAACAGGTTGTTACCTACCGAGCTCAGTTCGCTCTTCTTTCTAATGCTACTGCTTCCGTGACGATAGTCAAGTCCCTGTGTGCCTTGTACTTGTATAATCACGGGTCGATTGCCTACCGCCAAATCCAGCCCCTGTCCCACGTAGGTGAGAAGCCAGAACATGCAAACTGCCATTTTACAAATCATTAACGCTTTTTAAGTCCCTTTTTTTCCTCTATTTCTTTATTCTCTTCTCTCTCTCTCTCTCTCTCTCTCTCTCTCTCTCTCTCTCCTACCCTTCTAACTTTTTCTATCTGTCTATATATATCTACGTATATATTTCTCTTTCTTTTTCTTCTTTCTCTACCACCACTTTTGACGCACCCGATTATACGGCTGGGCGTGGTGTTATAATTGACCTAAATGAACAGCAATGATGCTCTTTTCTCTTTTATTTTTTCTTGTTTGCTCTCTTTAGCTGCTTACTACTCACTGCCAGTCTAAAGGCACGTCTGTAGCAACTCTGGGTTAGGCCGACTTTTCGTTTGAACTCGCGGTAGGTACACTAGGAAGTTGAGGATGGAATGTCTGTATATTACAGGTATATGTGTATGTGTACGTGTGTATGTGTATATGTACGTATAAGTGTGTGTATATTATGTGTGTGTGTTTGTGTATATGTATGCGTATATGTGTGTGTGCGTGTGTGTGTGCGTGCGTGTGTGTGTGTGCGTGTGTGTGTGCGCGCGCGCGCGTGTGTGTGTGTGTGTGCGCGCGTGCAGGGTGGGCGGGAGATACGGGGCGGTCGATTGATATCGAGAGAACGAGGAAGGGTAGGATAAACTTGATAAAAAATCACGAGCGGCGATATGTTACGACACAACGACGATTATTGCATAGAAAACGTAACGGTGCTACGCGTGCAACTGTATCAACTGCAATCTGCCTAGCATGTTCCAATTTGGGACCACGGATTCTGGTCGCAGGAGATCCGAGAAGTACCGGGCCTTTCTCTTTTTTTCTCTCTTTCTCCCTTTCGATCTCTCTGTTTCTATCGAGGATAAATCGCCGACTCGAGCGCACGGTGTATTATGTTCGACATTTGATTGTGTTATGCTCGCTCTTCTAATCGATACGCTTCACTTTCGGTAGTCCATGATAGTAGCCGCGACCTTGGTTTTCCCTTCGTGATAAAGCGCACACGTCCTGTACCGACCGTCCTGAAATCAGGTCGTTAATAGAGAATAATGTGCGATATCTTATAACCGCGAGTGCCAGGAACACAAAAAGATTTGTGGTGGTTTTTTTTTTTAATTTTCTTTTATTTATATATTTATTTTTTTAAATCTATTACTTTTGATTTTGTTTTTTTTTTTCTCAGGATATATTCAACAGAAGTGCTGCGACGTGTGGAGGTGGTTATCGGAGGTGCTCATCGTGCGTGCTCATAGATGCGTATAAGGTGCTCGAGTGTGGACAACATTTAAATCAATCGATGGTGCCACTCATGTTAAACGCTCGCGATCGTTTCACGTTTTCGCCAATAAAGCTATCGTCTCTCCGAGAGACGACCCTCTCCCTCGGTGTTGTTTCCTCATTCGCTTACCTTTCTTTTCTTGCCTTTCTCTCTATCTTTTTCTCTCTTTCCTTGTTCCTCTCTCTGCTCTTTCAATCGGCCCACCCTCTCTTTTTCGTTTCCTCTCTGTCATACGTCCCTAACTTCCCTTCTTCCTCACCTATCGAACGAACATCCCGAATATCGTACGTTTCCACAAAGCGGAAATCAAGCTACGACACCCCGGCGGCGATCGCGATTACGGATAATCCACAAATTAATAACCATCTACGTGTCCGCTAGTAAATAATCGCGCCTACCTAAATTTCGCTCCGAGAACCGCGACCATAATGTCGGCGAGATAAGCCGCGTACGTGACTGCGGAGTCATTTTCACGGAGTGAAATACTGAACGTGCCATTACTGAACGGAGAGACTATCGCGAAATTTACAGAAGGTTATCGGCACGATTCCTTTCCAGCTCTTACGTTTCTGAAAAACTCCAAAGTTTGTATTTAAATGCTATGTCGAGCGCTAAATTTACATACTTGAGTTTCATCCGAATTAATTTCGGACTCGGTGATCAAAATTCGAATATCAAAACCCACCCGGATCACTAAAATTACTTCAAAGCTGCGCTCTGTTGCACGCATAATGCGCATGAGGTATTTTATCCTTATCGTTCGCTAGGAGTGTTAAAGAGGATAAAATGATACATCAGCGCATTATATCTGCAACGGAATGCCGTCCAAGTATACTTTTATTCGGAATATCTGCTATAAAAATTTATGAATCGAACTTAAACGCCCCCAAGCGATTCTGTATTTTATTACGAAACGGAGATTTTGTACGGCGATATACTTTGCACTGAATTTTATCGCGTCCCTCTGATGAAAAGAAATCTTTCACGATTGAAGACACAATCTTTTTTTTTCAAATTATTCATATATACTTCGAGCGTTGTCATGCAATTTCGCAAAATATCGAGTAAGCAAAATGACAGAATCACGATTGCGTTAAACGAGTAGCTTTAATCTAAATAGCTTTACGATACCAATTCATGTCACGGGGAATTTTTCGAGTTTTTCTAAAGTCCGCGCCATCGCGCGAAAACGATATTCAGACCTGTTTTTACCAATATAAATTGACTTTAATCTTGATTTAATTTACTTTTTATCTTTTTCCACTTCTAACAATTAAAAAAGGACAAAGAGTAAATTAAACCGAGATTAAAGTTAATGTACATCGGTAGAAATGGGTATCAGCCGTGTCCGTCCGCGGCGACGTAACTCGCGCGAGCGGGATCGACACGCAGGACGCGACGATTCTCGAGTATCGGATCCCGAGTAACGGATCCGATAATCTGGTGCCGTACGACATTATGAAAGGGTGACATAATGTGGATAGCAGTGTGGTATGTAGGTCGGTCATATCAACAGGTGCCCCGAAAAACGTTCAAAAAGCAAAGGCTTGCCGTAGCAGAGAGCGGTGCGCGTTTGTCGGTGCGAGACGCGGGAGTAGGCGATACACGAGCGTGTATTGCGACAGAGGGTGTGTAGAACAAAGGCAGAGAAAAAAAGGTACACCGATATATA